GGGATCCGGTTTGAGGTACATGTGTCAAGGAATTAATGGACAATAGGAATTATACTTACTCTAACTATTAGCTCATAGAAGTGTAGGGTTATGCGAATAGTCGTCTTTTCTTTATTTTGGCTTAGCTCTTGTTGGAGCACTCTCGAACCTCCTCCATTCTTCTTTTTCATTTTACTCTTTTCAATTGTTCATTTGGTTGTTGCTACTTTGAGAGTTTGGTTTAGATTTGTAATTCTATTTTGTGGTCAATACAATATGGATCCACAACAACAACAATAACAACAACATACCCAGTATTATCCACACTATAGATTATGGATCCACCATATTTTTAAAATTATAAATTTTATATTTGATGATATTTTTCGTGAGTTGAAGTTGTTGGAGATGAAATTTAATTTTTATATACAATATTATATAATATTATGATAAGTGTATAATGTTGTATATCAAGTGTACAAATATTATTGCAAAAAAGTAATAGGTCATGCGACTATAAAATTAAAAATAGAAACAATATAATGTGTTGAGATGTATTTTTGTTTAAATCTCTCTGGCAGCTCGTTTAAATGGTTGTTATGTATCTCTTCGTTACATATCATATCGTATTGTATTGTACTGTATTATTTTGATATATATAATAGTTGGATAAATTGTATTGTTTGTCGTCATTTCATGATGTCATATACCAACAATATGAAGAATAAATGTACAATATTACAAAGAAAAAGTAAAGTACGAGATAGAATTATTTATATAAGAAGGTATGGTAAAGGATAAAATAAAATTATTTAATAATAAGATCGGGCAAGATAAGTAAAAAAGTAAATTAACAACGAGACCACAACATATTGTTAGTGAGTAAAAACACCTCGCCACATTTCTTTATATAATAAGTAATTTAATTATACGATGCAGTAAGATTTAACTAACAGCTTGTTTGGATGGTTGTTACATATCGTTTTATAATGTATCGTATCGTATTGTATTGTACTGTATCGTTTGATGAATATAATGTTTGGATAGATTGTGTCGTTTGACGTTATTTCATGATATCACGCACCAGCAATATGAATAATAAACTTGAAATATTATAAAAAAATTATAATACAAGATAAATTTATTATATAAAAAGTAAGATAAATGATAAAATAAAATTATTTAACAATAATTAAGGGTGAGATTGAGAGAAAAAGACCACATCAAATCGGTCTTACAAAGTGACACATTTCGTTGTTATGTAACGACAAAATTAACGATACGAAACAATAAATCAAAACAAAAAATCATATTAAAGCAACAATACAGCAACTAACAACCATCCGTAACAATCAATAGAAAAAGGAAAACGCTATTCTTTCATCCCACGATCACAAATAGCAGGTCATTTTCAAAGCAATTAAAGGATTTAGGGTTTAAACTTTGGTTGTTAAGATGTGTGGATTTCTCAACAATGGCGTTAAGCATCTCCTTCATATTTATAGCTTCAGATTTCAAACCTACTACTCAACATCTACTGCAAATTCCCACACCAACTTCTTAGTAGAAACGCTGGTGAACTCACTTGGCTTCTCCCCAAAAGAAGCCATTTCTACAAGTGCCAAGGTAAGTCGCTTGAGACCCAGAAATTATAACCCTAATTCAGTGCTCAATTTCTTGGAACAAGTTGGTTTAGACAAGACCCATATCAAAAAAGTTGTTTATTCAGTCCCCGCATTGCTGCTTTGTGATGTAGATAAATACCTTAAGCCCAAAATTGAAACTCTTAAAGAAGTTGGGTTATGTGGGTCGGATGACCTTGTCAAAATTATCACAAACAGTGGATGTTACTTCAGAACTAGGGTAGGGTGTGCTATCAAAGAAAATGTTGATTATCTTCACACCCTATTATTTAGTGATGATTTTGTTGCTAAGATCATTAAGAAACATCCTAATGTGTTCTTTAGTTATGCATTTCATGAAGTAATGCCACCCAATATATCATTGCTGCAAAATCTTGGGTTTTCAAGTGTCGATATAGAGAAGCTTATGCTTTGGAATCCTAGAATTTTGACTCAAAAGGCTGAGCGCCTCAAAGACATAGTGGATCGAGTAGAAAGACTTTCTTTCTTTCTCGCAATTCCAACATGTTCATACACGGGATTTATGCACTTGCATGGCTTGACGAGTCGACAGTGAAAAAGAGATTAGAAATCTTCAGGAGCTTCGGGTGGTCTGACTCGGATATTTTTACATTGGTCCAAAAACTTCCTCTCTGTTTGACAAGATCCGAAGCTAAGATCAGAAATACGTTAAACTTTCTAGTGAAGGAGCTTGGATATGAGTCTTGTTACTTGGCTTCTCACCCTGCATTTTTTACGTATAGTTTGGAGAGAAGGGTTCTACCTAGATATGAAATTTCGAAGCTACTCAATGAGAAGGAGCTGATAAAGTGTAGGCAGAACCTTTATAATCTTGTCTCGTTGCCTGAGTCAAAGTTCTTAGAGCGTTATGTGTTGCCTTTCAAGGATGAGATGCCTGAGGTCTATGATGTATACATAAAAAATAGGAGTTGAAAAAATTACTTTCTGACTGAGCTGCAGGCAGACTGTAGAGAATGTTTGTCAAGATTTTCAACTTTCTTAGTAATGCAGAACTTTATTGCCACTCACATTTCAGCGTTGTGTATTCTCCTTTTCAAATCATGATAATTTCTGGTATATGGAGATGGAAAATAGTGGGAATTTCTCATGTTTTCCTTGTTCTGTACTGTCAATTGTATGAGTCCATATCTTAATGAGGACAATATGCCTTTTCTTTTCTTCTTTGTTGGTAGACTCATTTGATAGTAGTAGTCCTGTATTGCAACTAACTTTAAGCTTCTCTATGAGGTTGTCTGTGTTTCTTTGACTAAAGGGAGGTGGACTGAGGTCTTCACTTGTTCAATATACGAGGGAGAGTATCTTCTCTCAATTTGGTCTATTGTATTATTCAAATCAATAAAGAAGTTGACCTTTGGATTGCAGTTTTGAAACAAATTCATCCGAATTGGCTGTTTTATGGTGAGACACAAAAATATGAGACGAAACAAGCTGAAAAAAAGAAGGAAAAAGTACTCCACCATTGCTTATAAGGACAAATATGAGAGACTCTATTTTTAGGTCTAGGCCAATTACGTCACAAATACAAAACACATATCATATCTTTTCTTGAAATCATAATTTGTACTAGAATTTGGCATTGATCACTTTTCATATTTACTCTTTTAAAAAAACTAGCCTCTTACTGATATAGCTATCCTCAATGAATGTACAGATTAAGAGAGAACCTTTAGTGTTTCATCAAAGATGAGCAATGCGAAACTTCACTGTTTGTATGGGGTAGATACCAGCTACCTTGTGCTGTAGCTAACAACAACAACAACAAACCCAGTGAAATCCCATAAGTGGGGTCTGGGGAGGGTAGTGTGTACGCAGGCCTTACCCCTACCTTATGAAGGTAGAGAGGCTGTTTCCGAAAGACCCTCGGCTCAAGAACAGTAAAAATGAAGCAATAGAGAAAAAATAACAACAACAAGGTCATAAGACAATGGAAGCGAATAATCCAACGAGTAATAACAGAGATCCAGGGGTACGAAACTACAAGAATAGTGCCAATTCTAATGACATACCGTATAAAAACAAGGGAATAGGAATAGGAAAATACCCAACTAGTACTACACTACTACTACTACTACTGCTGGTAAGACAAGGCGAAACTCTAGACTGTCTATCTACCCAACACCATAATTCTTGTGCCGTAGCTAAAATAGAAAGAAAAAGGCCTAAATTTGTGTTTTAATTCAAGTCATGTGATTATTCAAGTCATTTGATTTTCTTATCGGATTCTAGGTACTTTTACACTCTAAAGAGAGCTGTTGTTGCTTATTGCTGTGTAGTCTGTGTTCAAGATCAAGTTATCCTTTGGTACTTCTTTTCTGGCTCATTGTTTTTCTGAAAAATGTCGGTGGGTGCGTGTTGGATCCTCCAAAACTAGTAATTTCTATAGGATCCTACACGGGTGCGGCAACTGTTTTGGAGAGTCCGCGTAACATAGATCGTAAGGTACTAGTCTTAGACTCTTAGTGACTGACACTGGTTACTGCAGAACAGTAACCAAACTGATTTGTTGTATTAGTTACTCCTTGCTTTGCTCTCATCTGCTTGTATTTGAAGTAGTACCTAAGTAATGAGGTATTGATCACACCATTTTCCTTGGATAATTCCAAAAAGCTATTCTGTGTGCATCTTGACTAATTCACTGGTTATCCTATCTAGCTCACAAGCACAGGTTGCCAAGGTATCCTGTCCGCCAAGATTGGAGCAAATGGGCTACTGGTTGGAGCAAATGCCCATCTAAGAATTCCCTTTCTAAAAAGAGAATTAGTATATCAATTGTATACAATCCTTTTTGAATTGCTACTGGTTGCCGTAATAGTAGATTAAAAGTTGGTGTTAACTTCATTGAAATGATAGCTTAGCTGTTCTCTTTAATTGTTCTATATTCTGAAAGGATTATCAGCATTTGCCAAAAAGCACATTATATTTACTAAAGTTGTGACATCGCAAACGATTACTCCTGTTGATTCCACATAGTTCTGTTGGAGAGAGCAGAAAAAGTCCACCCATTGTAGTGTTCTTCCATGATCATAATAATATGCAGAATAGTTCTCATTCTTATTGCTACTTGTAGTAAAATAAGGTTCTTTTTTGAGGCACAACCATGAAACTGGCGCTATTCCAGTATGGTAGGTATTAGGACCCGGCAAACTTATAACGTCTATAATTGAAAAAATAGGACTATTTTGAGAGGATATGTATGTATAGTCCCAGAAAGAAATGAAGCAAGGAATAGTTTGCATGGAAAGAGTTTGAAATGAATTCGGAGAAGAAATGAGAAAGTAAGAAAGAGACTGATGGAAGTGTTGGTGTGACAAATCCATCACCAATCTATGATGTTTTGGCTTCATCATTGCCGTAACAATGGCGTATTCGTTCTCCATGTACTACTCCACAGCTGCTGCAGCTACAACTTCCCACAGCAATTTGTTGGTGGAAATATTAATGAATTCACTTGGGTTCTCCACAGAAAAAGTTATTTCTACTAGCGCCAAGGTAACATTCTTGAAACCTGGAAACAACAAGCCTCTATTAGTCGTCAATTTCTTCCAACAAATTGGTCTAGACATTTCCCACATCAGAACCCTTGTTTGTACCAACCCTAGTTTGTTGTTTTCTGATGTAGAGAAAATCCTTAAACCCAAAACTAAGCTTCTTCAGGAACTTGGCTTATCTGGTTCTGACATAGCTAAAGTCATCTCAAAAAGTGTGTTTCCTGCATTCAAGTCTTGATTACTCTATTTGACTCAATCTTGATTATTTCCGGAAACTGTTAGGTAGTGAGGATTCTGTAGCTAAGGTCATTAAGAGAGGCCTTAGAATCCTTTGGCGCAATGCCCCTAAAGTAATGTCACCCAATATAGCGTTCCTGCGAAATTTTGGATTTTCAGGTAAAGATATTGAAAAGCGTATTGTACGAGATCCAAAGCTCCTTCATCAAAAGATGGGGTGGCTTGAGAATGCAGTGCATCGAGTTGAAAAGAATTTACACATTCCTCGGGACTCCAACATATTTTTCTATGGATTTATAGTTAGTGCATCTGTTGGGGAATCACATTTGGAGATGAAACTACTAACTAGCAGTATTCAGGAGATTTGGGTGGTCTGATCTGGAAATTTTTACACTGGTACAGAAAATTCCTTTATGCTTGACCTTATCAGAGGCTAGGCTTGGAAAAGGACTGAATATTTTCATGAAGGACCTCAGGTATGGAGCTGGTTACCTGGCTTCTCACCTCGCACTTTTAGCACACAACTTGGAGAAGAGGGTGATGCCTAGGTATGAAATCTTGAAACTTCTCGGCAAGAAGAAGCTTTCAAGGGGTAGCCTAAATCTTTATACTGCTGTGATATTGCATATTGCCTAATTCAAAGTTCTTAAAGACCTTATACGGATGAGATGCCTGAGCTCTCTGAGTTATACATGAAAAGTAGAAGATAAATAGACTGTGTTGTAATCATTTTGTTGATAATGTTGTTCTGTTGGATCCAGTCACCTCTTGAAATATTACAGCTGATGAGAGATTCTGTTGACGAATAGATTCTTATTTGTCATTTGATGCTTATTTTCCTAAGTGGAGAGTGAAGACAATTTTAACTTCTATCATGTGGATTTATAAATGCATGTCTCTATCAAGACAATTCTTGGTTTTAGCTGAAATTTCCACCTCCTTTCGATCTTTATGAATTTGGTGCTGCTAAATCCATAACTTGATTCAAATGATGTGTTCTTGCTGGTGGATAAATCTGCAAGTCTTTTGTATCAGTGGATAATATTGCTGCTAAAGCCACCTCATTGAATTGGTGTTTCTTCCTTTGTCTGTGACATGAGAGAGGTGGCAAAAGTCTTTCCTAACTCATTCTCATTTGTAGCTGAAATTTCCACCTCCTTTTTAGCATTATGATGACACTCTTCCTAAAGCCATAACCTGCATAACTCAATCCTGATGAGATATTTTCTTTTGTGGATGAAATCTGTTAGTTTCACATTTGTCAAATGATAGTATTTCTTCCAGGCCCCCTAATTGATCTGGTGTTCTTTCAGTCGTAGCTTAAGGAGCTACCTTATTTATTACCTTAATAACTTCATTGCATATTTCTTACTTTGACAACTTTGATTCATAAACAATGTCTTATGATTTTAAAATATTCATTGGTTTACTATTCAATGCTGTGAAAATTGTGGAACACCACATAATTAAACTGCTCACTTTTGTTTAAATGTCTACAAACTAATGGACATTGAGTTTAATTCTTCTTAGCCATATACCTGTCAGAAAAAAAAGGATATCAATACTTTGGTGTAGTTATGTTGCTACTCTCCAGAAATGTCTTGTTGTGCTGTCATATACCATTACCTTCACTTTCCTTTTTAATCAGTAAAGAAATAACCAATAAAATAGCATGGATCACTGCAATTTAGGTACCTGATGTTGTATCTGGGGTTCATTAAAAGGACTTCCTTTCTATACTTCTTTGATGGCATCAGTATTGAGATGAAGAACTGCACTTTCTAGGTGATGACTTTATCAAGGTGTAGACTCCTTCCATAATTTGGGGACAATCTTGAAATTTACTATTCTGCATGGCAGAACTAGAAGATTGGGGTAACAATTCTGAAGAGAAGTTGAAGTGAAACTATTTTTGTCGATAAGGAGGATACTACTGAGAGGACATTGTCGCCTCAATGTGTATTTGTTTCACAAATATGATGTTATTGCTGTCCTGTGACGCTGATTTACATATGGTGTGTTGATTCCCCCTTCCTCTCTCTCAAGCTTTTATACCTTCTTGAGTGCTATGGACTGTTGGTGGAGAATTGGGTTTTCTTTTGTTGCTTAGTTACAAATTGACAGAGTATCCTTTCTCCAGCCGAAGGTCTATTGGAAACAGCCTCTCCTTCCAGGGTAGGGGTAAGGCTGCGTACATCTTACCCTCCCCAGACCCACTTGTGGGAAATTACTGGGCTTCTTGTTGTTGTTGTTGTTGTTGTTGTTGTTGTGTTGTTGTTACAAATTGACAGAGTGGTTATATTGTAATAGCAAAAGTATACCATTCTGGTCCTGGGAAATCAGTTAAGTAATTTTAATTATCGTAAGTTCTTGACATGCTTCTTTGCATCTTGGCCTCGATGTTCCACTGTTGAAGTTGAACTGAGGTGACTTTTCTTACAAAACGTTGCATGTTGTCTTCGAGCTTGAGAATAGATCGCTCCAGTTAAAGATATCTGCTATGAAGAAGGGAGACTCCTCATACAAGCAGCTTGGAAGTTGGCAGAGCCACAGAAATTTGATGAAGAGTAAGCATGTTGTCTCCTGTATTATCCTTGCTAACGCACTTTGGACTTCGGGGGAGAAGCATCTACATTTGCCAAATGTAAGCTTCTATTCATAGTTGGAGCTGGCCATTGAAATGATCATTAGAGCTGGTGATGTTCTTTTTGTTTTCGGCCGACTGTATGCTATCTATCTAATGCCTTCTGCATCTGCATATAATGTTGGCTTTATTGCCTATCTTAGGAAACTACCTTTGGGCTCATGCTGCAATCTGAAATCTCTAACACTTATCGTTCGAGTTATTTGATTTCTGTCAAGTATGAGACTGTCATAAAGATGATTACTAAATGTAATTTGGAATTACTAGTGTAATACATCAATTGTATATGCATATGTGGACTATACTTACTAAATGGAAAGGTAATATTCTACTACTAACATTTTAGCTTTAAATATCATATATGAAGATACCGTCGAAGTTGATCCTGTGGCTTCTGATGATCATTGTCACTTTCCAGTTAAACATTAGTTCCCTTTTTTTTTTTTTTTTTTTTTTTTTTTTGCAGACATTATTATGTGTTTTAGAACAGTTATGTGGCCCCGCGCATAGCGGGAGCTTAGTGCACCAGACTGTCTTTTTTTAGAAGAGTTATGTGGATCGTAGATGCTTGCTTTTGTCAACTATACAATTGTGGCTATTTTGAAATGGAAATTTTACCTCCTATAGCAAGCTAGTACACTCTATTTATTATAAACCAATATTATTTTAAAATATTATTATCTATAGCTACCTTTTATATTTTATAGCAAAATAAGTATTTATGGTGTACACTACTATTGAAGTGTGAAATACGCTATTTATGTTTTTTTTCCTCTTTCTTTCAGTTAACACACGATTTCTATCAAATCACAGCAAGATTTTTCTCTATCACAGTTAGATTTTTCTCCTTTCTCTCTCCACGATCTCTCTCTCTCAAAGATTGTAGGAGCAAATTTCTCAGAATTGATCCTCAACGTTTTTGCTCCAAAAATTCGTGATAATTCGTAAAGCTTTTGGCCGGTTCACGCCTTACTACTCTGCCATTCTTCGTTTTTTCTTCACTTTTATTTTTAGTTTTCGCCATTGTTAGGTTTTGAGGAAGAAACTTCAAATTTCGTCTTTAATGACTGATTCAACAACTCCGAAGAGGGTTACACTTTATTTTGCTTGGTCGAAAATGTCATCTCCGGGGAACTTTCTTCTCTTCTTTGCTATTTTAGTCACATACAAATACATTGTATTCTGTACAAATACATTGTATTTTTGTATAAATACATTATTTTTTCGCCTGCATTTATGTGTTCTGAAGGTCTGTATTTTTTAATACAACCGAATATTACTGTATTTTGTGATTTTTTGTTGTTTGAATACAGTCGAATTGAATATGGTGAATTGAATACAATGTATAATAGTGAATAATGAATATATGTGAATTGAATACAATGTATACAGTCGAATTGAATAGAACGGTATACACCCTATTTCTTAATTACCTCACTATATTTATAAATACAGTCGCGCGAATACATGGAATACAACATAGTACCAGCGAAATTTATGTAAAATTAATTTTGTTGAGTTAAATTAGGAGTAATACACGCTAATTGATCCTCTTTCCGTTATTAAACAACTGGACTCCCCTATTTTTTAGGCGAATTCCGACACTGTATTCATGATAACGCAAATATAGCGAATACAATTACACAGTTAGACTCCTCTATTTTTTAGGCGAATTCTGTTACTGTATTCATGAATACAATTAGGAGTGTTCATAAAAATCCGAAAAACCGAACCAAACCGAAAATCGAACCAAACCGACAAAAAAATCCGATATTTTTTAGGTTTGGTTTGGTTTTGGTTTTGAATTTTAAAAACCGATCAAATTTGGTTTGGTTTTAGTTTTAATAAAAAAAATAACCGAAAAAACAGAACCAAACCGACTATAGAAGTAGCTATTTAAATTTATTATTACACCTATATATATGTATATTTTTATATAAAGTTTCAAAAATTTTATGGTACATATTAGTCGTTTATATTTGTAGTCTAGTTTTTTTTACTATTATAATAATCTAATTCTTTGCATTTATATTCTAGTTTGATTGGTGGTTTCTTTTGCTAAGTACAAGAATTTATTTCATGTTAAAAATAATTAATTTTTAATTGAGTACATAAATTATTCATCACTATTTGATTCAATTATCATCAATATATCTTGGTAAATGATAGATTTCTCAAAGAGCAATTAGTTTGATAGTGTTACGCTGAAAATGTAGTCTTCGCAATATGTGTTTGGTAGTATATGTCTCATATTTAAGAAAACCCCCGATAAATAACCAAAAAACCCGAAAACCCGACCAAAACCGACAAAAATCGAATCGATAAAAAATCGATTTAATTGGTTTGGTTTTGTTCCAATATTTGAAGAACCGACTTACTTGGTTTGGTTTCTTTTTAGAGAAAAACCGATCCAAATCGAACCATAAACACCCCCAAATACAATAGCACGAATACAACGAATATAGTCGCAAAAATTTATGTAGAATTGATTTTGTTGAGTTAAATTAGGAGTGATACACGCTAATTGATCCTCTTTCTGTAATTTTTTCGATTTCCGCTACTGTATTCATGAATAGAGTAGCGCGAATACAACGAGTATAGTCGCGTACAACCGGACTCCCCTATTTTTTAGGCGATTTCCCCTACTGCATTCATGAATACAAAAGCGCGAATGCAGTGAATACAGTCGCGTAACAACTGAATAGTAGCTATATGAAATAATTATGTATATGATAGCTATAGAAAATTAATAGCCATTAAACAATAGCGGTTTCTGAAAATTCGTGTTTTTGAAATCTATTTTGGAGTCCAGATGTCAATTTGTATAGAATTGATCTATTTCAAAGCTTGTCATATACGCCTAGTTTTCATGTTATTGTTATGCATGGGCAGAAAATATTGAAATTTTAAGAAAAAATTAAATAGAAAGGTGACGGATTTGCAATGAATTTTTTTTCGTTGTTACCAATATCTTATTTTTAATAACATAGAA